GCTGCATTAGGGTTGTCTGAGCAGTTGATGAATATGTGTGGGTAGCCAGGAGATATAGGACAAAGAGAAGAAATTGTAATTACTAGGATTCCTGAACATGAGGCGCAGAACTGGCTTAGTGCTCCCTAGATCAGGCCACAAATTAGCCAGCCTGGCAAAGTGTAGCTGCTCCTGTGACGTGCCGATCATGTGGAGGCTTGCAGTGATGTTAGCTGCCACTTCCCATCAAGTGCTAACCCTCCCATACATCACTGCAGAGCTTGTAGTAAGGCAAAAGTGCTTGACGGAATGGTTTGGTTTTGTCTGCCGTTCCCTGTGTGGGAAAAGGTTTGTTTTTTTGAGCCAACATGTACAGCAAAGTGGTAATTCCACTTTACAGCGCCCAAGTATGAGTATATTATAAAACTAATTGGCAATTCTAAAATGTGAAAACCCCCCCAAAAACAGTGAGTTGTCTTGACTCCGTCACCAGTTGTGCTACAAAAGGTAAAGATGAGAACCATCAAAATGGAGGTTTAAAAGTAAGGTCGACACCTATCCCCTCTCCGCAGGGATCTCTGGGAGCTGAGGGCGGACTTCTCGCGCTTGTCCACGTCCCTGCTTTCCAGCTGGGGGGCGCTCGGCTCCAGCCTTCCCCCAGCCCCCCTGTCCGACGCGTCCGCCCCCTCCTCCCTCCCCCGGCCCCCAGGTCTCACTCTTCAGGACCTCGCCGACGAGCTCCGCGAGAAGGAGCAGGAGGCCGCGACGCTGCGCCTCCAGCACGACGCGGAGAACGAGGAGCTGAGGGCCAGGTGAGAGCCAAAGGTGGAACTGAACTGCTGTTTTTCCTGTTTCGGGGAGTAGGGAAGAATCAGCATTGATGAGGGCATTTCAAACCCCAGTAAAAGTAAAATGTACACGGTAACTTGTAAAACCTCCAACTCACATCACAAAAAGTTTCCAGGTATGCACAGCACCATGTTCTGCGATTCGGAATGAGGCAACAAAACGTCCAGTGACGTGTTGCGACCTAATGACACTGTACACAAGCAGGCCCGTGAATCCATCTCTTTTAATCCAAAAGAAATACTGCTTCCAGTTTCAAGACAGTTTCTGCGTACGTCACCTTACATTAGTCATTAGGGTGACTAGTGAGCAGGAAGGGCCTTTCACAAAGCTCATGGTTTTGTGCCTAATTCGAAATTTGAATTTTGTTTCTATAACATCATTGAATTTGTTTTGTTACCGACATTTAATAACTGGTCTGAGAAATTGGGACTGCAGTTCCCTGTTAATATTATGAGAAGCTCAAATGCTTGAGTACAGTTCTTCAGCTTAGAGTTATGTAATAATTAGTTGAATCCGAGACCACTTTACATATAAGACGGGACCCACTTCATCTACAACTGGGTGAAGGCAAGAAAGCTATGACAGTGCATGAGTTTGTGAACCCCCAATATAATTAGGGAATTACTGTTTCTTACCATGCTATCCTTGTTTAATCACGATTTACTCTACCAGTTTGAGACAGTTTTTTGAGACACATTCAGGACCTGGATGGCTTGCAATCATAGATGGGACAATGAGTTCAGTGTTGTTCTGTATCAGCAGGTTGTGGAGGAAAATGTTAAGCCATTCTTTTGTCAGCTGCGCGGAAAGACCTGTGGGTCGTGGAGCAAGGCGATCTTAAAAATACAAGTCAATTCAAACAGCAGAGAAAACAAAAATTTGCAGTTTGGATTGGCAGAGTCAAAGTCTGACTCTAAACCGCGGTGAAACAAATGTTAATTCATTCACCTGACTCTAGCTGTTTATGCAAGGAAACCCTCAAGTGATAGAATGCACCAAATTTCATAAATGCTGATGCAAGAGACATGAATATTTACAGGAATTAGATGGACATGTAGAAGGAATAAAGTCATGCCAATAAAGGCAAAACCAGACTGAAGAGTAGACGCTTTCAGTTAATGGTGTTTAATTACCAAAACCCCTTTTTTGATGTACATATCATTTTGGGGATTACAGCCTTGTGCCCATTGCATGCCAGGACAGGCTTTTGGCTACCCCACAACCACGTATTGGATAAAAACAGTTGTGAAAATAGAGGTTTCTTATTTATTTGAAAGCAGAAAATTCACTGTTTCTACCTAGAAGCTCCTCGAACTATTTGCAGAGCATTGTATATCACTATGTACAGAATGGTTCATGTTTAATATTGTTTGAATGTTGACAAAATTCAAATCAAATAAAAAATATTGTATCAAGATTTTCTGTTTCAACTATATTTATAGTCTTCAGACCTAAAAGTGGCTTAGACTTTTTTATTATTGCGTCTCTGATTTAGTATGTAAAAAAAAATCTCCATTACACAGCAGGGCCAGATTGGTTTGGAATGGAGTGACACCAGCCTGCCTGGCCTAGGCTGTTTTGTTAAATAATTCCCGTTCCCTCTGAAACTGAAGGGTTTGGAATCAATTTCAGAATAGACCTCCAGGAGTAAAAACCTCACTGGTGGTGGAACTATAAATCAGGTATACGAAGAAGAGGTGTTTTGTAGATTAGAGCTTCATTGTTTCCTTTTATCGATGGATATTCAGCACTGCTTTGGAAAGCCTTATTCATCCTTGAGGTTCTTCTTTCCAGGATTGCAAACCTCACTGCCTCCCTGCATTCCTTCGAGCTTGAGAGAGAGGAGTGGGAAACGCAGAGGCAGAGAGACCTGGACAGAACCCGAGAGACAGAAATGGATTTGGAATCAGTCCGAGAAGCCATTGAGAAGCTGGTAAGAGAAATTCCTCAGTTGTTCCGTTAGGGCAGAGAAGGGCATTTCTTATTGCATCCAAGCCCACATGAAGATTTTCACTCGGCCAAACCACGTACAAGATGACGAAACGTGTTTTCTTACAGGGTGATACTGTCTTCCTCAATTTCTGAAAGCAGACTGTGCTGTCTGACTATCTAATCTCCCAAGAATGTTTCAGACAATTAAGAGTTTTTGCAGTTGACATAAAATCGAAAGAAATCTCAATTTTAGCCCTGTTACTTTGTAGTTCTCTTTCTAAACTGCTGCCAGGGAGTTTCTGCAATAAAAATTAAATTGTCTTGGATATAAAACTTTGTTCTGCAATGGACTGGCAATGCAGCCAGCCTTGCCTTGCCCCTGTTGCATGCTGGGATAGCTCCCCTGCGATGAAGAGAATTGGATGAAGAGTTTTGAAGATGGATGGGCTTGAAGGTTGCAGTCTATCATCGCCCCCCCCTCCTGCAATTTTTTTAACAGTTCTGTAAGGAGGAATGTGCAAATGTTGCCAACTATAGGTGTCCTACATTGGTACAGACATATTAAGATGGAATTATGGTAATTCTAGCAGAAGGTGCTTCCAACAAAAACTAACACAGTGGTGTGTCCGCTTATCCAACCCATTTTTCTGTTTTCAGTTGTAATAGCTTTGCAGAATGTTTTTCACTTGACAGTTGTGTGTTACAGTGTGTAAATAAAATATAAAAATTAATGTGTCTTGATTTCAGACTCATAGGCCACAAAATGTGTTACTTTGAAAAGGATGTGTAGACTTTATGTAGGCACTTTATATTCTGTCATTAACAACAAATAGGCTGGACTTTTTCTGACATAACAATAAAACATAAAATATATGTCAATTTATCAGTGTAGAAATGTTTCCAGTGTTTGGGATTTTAAGTATTGGAAGACAATACATTCTGTGAACTCTGAAATTCTTACTTGGCATCAGTAATTGGAAACTGGGAGTCAGAAACTGTCCAGATTGATTTCATTAACTTTGCTCGAAAACCTTTTAAAGGAAGTTAGTTTCACATTGCTGATGATTCAATGTGAACAGTTCTTCCAGCTTTTTCCAGTCGATGGTTAAGAGAGGGTCTTTTATTTAAAGAAATTAAAATGCCGGATTTATCTTGTGAAAATACTGGAATTGATGGTAAAAAATCTTTTTTTTTTTTAAGAATACAAATCAAGCTAATTTTTTGTCTGTTAAAAAAAGGCCCAATTTGCAGTGAAAATGTCAACGTGATTCCATACTGTATCTAACCATTGATTGTCTTTGATAACCTCAAGTGGCCCTAGATGTCTCTTTTTGACTTCAATGCAGGTAAAGTACTATGGCATTTCAGCATATAAAATAATTTCTATGTTAACAAAGGACATCTAAAAGCAGCACTAAAGAGCAGCTGATTTCCTCGGTGGGGGGAATATGCTACTATGGCATTTCAGCATATAACATAATTTCTATGTTAATAAAGAACATATAAAAGCAGCACTAAAGAACAGCTGATTTCCTCGGTGGGGGGAATATGTAGCACAGATCACTTCAGCACAAAGCAGAGGAGAAAGAAGAATGTCCTACAGGTCACATACTCACCATGATCAGCCAGAAGAAAACTCACAGCAATAGAACAGTGAGCTTAGTCCTTAATCATGGAAATGCAATCGAAGAAATTAAAAGCTATACCAACTAGTTGAGAGACATGGCAGCCCACATCTCTGTCGTAACCCTTTTTGCCAGACCAGAAACAAAAAAAAAAAGCAGTGAGTGGGATTATTTGGTCTGCAAGTATATCCAAACATGCACTGTAGCAGCCAGAGTATCCAGAAAGAAAAACCCTGAGTCTAGTGGCCAACAGCAAAGGAAAGGGTGCAGTCTATCAGCTAGACTTGCCTCTTCATATCCCCGAGCTCAGTCTTTTTTCTTCATGTGCCAGTGGGCTTGAGCTGATCTTCAGCTTGGCTTAAACCAGAAGCTCGGTTCCCCCCGGTAAAAAAGGTTTTCTGCATTTTACGGTTTTCTGCATTTTTATTTCCTACATAGAGGAGTAATCTAGAAATGACAGTAATGAGCCTCTGTCGTGCAGAATTGGTGAATGAAAAATGACTTGAAGAATGAGTTGTCAGAGTCTATCAAATAAAATAAAGATGTGAAAATAAATGTAATAGGGTGGAAGCAAACAAGATCAGCCATTTTGGTAGGCATTCTAAACAAAACAAGTGGGGTCATTTAAGTTGATGCCCTGCTGCAGGCTGACAGTATGGACGTTGCAGTCTTCAGTCGCAAACTGAAGGAACGAGACATTCTCAGTCTTGAACACCGAAGATTACAAGAGGACCTCATGCCAGTAATCAAAATCCACTAAGGCATGGATGTTAACCCAGAGGATTTCTTCCAAATTAACCGTGAAACAGAGAAAAGGAGGCACTTGTTTTGCCAAAGGGTTGTGGGAGTTGTACCCAGCAGCTGGTAATGCGGATCCCCTCCACCACCACCACCACCACCAATGTGCAGGCCCCACCTGGAAGATGCAACAGCAGCCATAGTGCACCAGTACTCTCACTACACACCAGCTTATCGGTGGGGAGAAGACCAAAGTGATGAAGCCAGCTCATAGATGGGGGTTGTGCAAATGAAACTGGTGTTTCTCTAGGCATTCTTTTTGTATCCTGTACAAAAAGAAAGGGAAACCTAACTCTCTTGTCCTCTGTGCAGTCAAGGGTTGTCTGCAGTCAAAAGGCTTATGGGATGGCTGCAGCTCTGTTCCCATCAGCACCTTTGACAGAGGATCTCCCAGCCCTCCTGAGCGCCATCGCTGAGGCTGAAAGCACCCTTCAGTGGAAACACCAGAAGCTCCAGGTACCGGCTGAGGAGAACCACCACAGTATCACTCATTAATGTTTTTTCTGTATAATTTGTTACACATTGTTAGTCACAGTAATTAGGTTATAGTTTTCACTAGCTTGTAGCTGTAATAATTTCATGTTTTTCAAAGAACAATTCTTAGTTCTCAATTCTCAGTTCTTAATGACCTTTTTTAGGCTACTTCATAAAGTAGGAATCAGGAAGTACTTGAATAGATCGGGTGAAATCAGTGAAAGCTGTCAGGGGGTGAGTCTTTATAGTCAGACACAATAATGCTGATTCTTTGATCAAACTTTTGTTTCCTAATGAACTTGATGTATCACAATTTGTTTTACATTATTATTTTTGCTTTTGCTTTTATGTTTTAATAAAGATTCTGTAAAAGTTTAGTCAATTTTAGTGTTGTTTCATGGAGCTTGTTTTATGTGCTAAATAACTGGCTTTTACTGGAAACAAGGATATATGTACTTTAGATCAGCTTCAATTGTAATAATAAATATTACTGCTTCTTGAACAGTGGTCCAATCACTAATAGGATCGTATGGGGATAAGGTACATTATGCGAGTATGAGACCTGGTTTCCCCCTTGAGAAATAACTAATTATTGACTAACTAATTGTAGAAGAAAGTGTAACGAGTTAAATTTTTGTTAAGTTGAAATAACTGCGATTAAGTTTTTGCTCATCTTGCCCAAAGATTATCATGAAATGATTTCAAGCTGAAAAGCAGTAGGAAGAAACAACTCTTTTTAGCAGTTGTGTGCTGTAGCTCTAGTGTGCTCAGCCAATATTAGCTGTCACACATACCCACTCAAACTTCAGAACTAAATATATTTCAAAAGTAACTTCCCCCACCACTGTGTCTGTGTTTGTGGGCACTGTTTAACAAATATGCCAGCAGCTATATCATCCTGCAGCTCTCAACTGGCAGCCCACTGAATGTAAGCAGGTGTAAACCTGACCAGTACCTCCAGGAAAAAACTAAGGTTGCTTTTGAAAGAGGTGTTAGTGGGACCAGTAGGGGGTGCTCACCCTGGGTCCTAATGCCCCAGTATAGTGACAGGCTCACCATACTGTAAACAAGGTGCCATCCTACAGATGAGATACGAATCCAAGATCTTGACTCTCTGTGGTCATTAAAAATCTTGCATTGCTCGGAATGTTACCCTGGTGTCCTCATTGGCCTTTACCAGTCATGGTCTCCTAAGAATCCTCCATCTTCCCTACCGATGTTGATAACGGTAATAATAACATGAGCAATAATAATAATAATAATACAATTCTTGACATCTAAATATTTTGTTTCTAATTGAAAATTTGTCTCTTGTTGGCATACTTTTCAGGAAGCAGAAGTGTGTCTGAAAAAGGCAGTAACAGAACGAATGAGCGACCGCGAGGCACTCGAGCAGCGAATCAAAGAGCTGGAGCAGGAGGGGGAGGAGCTAATGGAAAGGTTGGAGAGAGAATCCCAGGTGCTGAGAGACGCACAGGAGTCGTTACAGAGGTAACATCAGCGCAGGACTTTTTTTTCCCCCACTTACTGGCTTCTCTGTAGGTCCTGAGGAGGCTGGCATGTAAAATTCTGTGCCTTGTTACAGTGAGAAGGCATCGGTGGCCTCCTGCAAAAAACAGCTGGAAGAGATGGAGCGCCAGACTGAGGAGCTGAGGAGGGAGAACGAGTATCTGAGAAGGCAGAGAGAGAAAGAGGAGGAGGGGAGGAGAGAGCTGGAGAAGGAGAAAGAGAAATGGTACTTTTGCTTTCAGAAAAGCACAAAACATTTTTGACATTCCAAAGGAAACGAAGTGGCAGCACGGTCTCCTTCATTCCAGGTTCTACGAGATCCTAGCTCTTACACAAATTCTGTTGATGTAGTAGAAATATAAAGCATACGTTATCATTTTGAATTAAGTTTCACCCTCCCTCCTGTCCATTTAGATTTTTACAAAACAGGACAAGAAGCATGATGTACTATATCTAGCACCGATATGGAAAAAATATGTAAAATATGGAATGGACCAAGCTGCTGCCTTGTAGGAGACATTCCTGTATCACCATTAGTAGAAAAAGTGAAGGTTAATTGTGATTTTTATCATTATTGTAATGAACTGATGCAATGTCATGCTATGTGATGGGATTGCTACACTGTGGCAGGCTGCATGGTCAGGAGCTGGAGAACACCCAGTACAGCGAGAGAGAGGCCGAGAGGAGACAGGAGATACTGGCCCTGAAGGAGATGCTGGAGAAGGCCCGGATGGACAGAGTCCTGACCGAGCAGGAGAACAGTGAGCTGAAAGACGCGCTGTTCACGGTAACTGTGCTCATCCCAACTCTCTAATTGTCTCCTTTCCTTTCAGACGACTTTAGGAAATCATTCCATTCATCAAAAGGTAGAATTCCAGCCCCAGACTTTAGTGCTTATTTTCCTCATTTAAATTATGTATTTTTCCTGCGGGACAGGTAGTGAGTGAGGAGGTTTGGAAAAGAATCAATGTCTAAAGTGAGTCAGCTGACGTTGATCGGGCGTGGAATGGTAGGGGTTGTGATGTGATTCCAGGAATCCTCTTCTTCCTGTATAATATCATGGGTTACTAAACACATATCCCCTGTGATGTACCCTGCTCTACCCACTTCAGTTTGCTATGTCACTGTGCTTGGGAGGCCACACTGTGGCTGATCCCTGGAGCCAGCATGGCATCTAGTACATGTGCCATGCCATGCTGTAACTGAGCTGATCCCTGGAGCCAGCTTGATGGTATCCGGTGTGTGTGCTGACATGCCAGTGCATGCTGTCACTGGGCTGATCTCTGGAGCCAGCTTGAAGTTGTCTGGTGTGTGCTGATATGTCAGTGCATGCTGTGACTGGGCTGATCCCTGGAGCCAGTATGATGTTTTGTGTGCTGATCACAGGAGCACTGCAGTCAAAGCAGCCATCAACTAAACTGCCAAGACTGAAGTGAAAATATGTGTCTATAGGTGTTTAAGATGCAGTTTAAGAAACTCATTATTATACTTAAATATTGCTTGAGCTGTGGACTACCACTATCTGTCCCTGCACATTTTGAACTGGAAACAAGTGGAAATGTGTTGTGTTTGCACTCTGCATGGCTAGCTTGGTATTACTTTACATTTCACTCCCATTTTGTGCAACGTAGTGTTGCTCATTCTCAATATCTGTTACACTCCAGACATCGCCCTCTTTCATCTGCTGATCTCTCCTCTCCCTAATCCACAAGTCTTGCTTTCTCAGTTCAAAGTGGAAACCTTTCAGCACATTGCTTCCCACGTGCAATTTCTTGTAATCAAACCAAGGTGCCGTTATCGCAGAGATTCTCTTTGCCACCTCTTGCATTAAAATGTCAGACTTTTTTGCCTTACTTGTCATTTTTTTCTCTGTAAAATCATCGTCTTTAGTTTTAACAGGCAGGTCTTGAAGACAACATTCTTCGTCTCCCTTCTTATCAACGCTTTTTGCTTCACTTGTTCTAACGCCATCATGACCACTGTCTCTTTCTGTCTGTGGAGGCCCGGGACTCTGTCTGTAGCCTGTCTGTTTCTCAAGACCAGCTAAAGAAGGATTTGGCTGACTCTCGGGATGCCTTGGAGAAGATGGCAGCACTGAATGAAGTACTGGCTGCAGACAAGAGAGACCTTAGTGCTCACATGCTTCAGGTCTGTGAAGGCATTTCTAGTACTCAGGCAGTGAACCCTCCCCTATAAGTACATCTTTTACAAACTCATTTGCAACCTTATTTCACTTTCTTTGTATAGCTCTGGCTTTTGGTCATCTACTGCACAGTGGCAAATATGGTGGCTGCAAGGACATTAGATGGAGCATAAAATTCTGTTTGTAATGTGTTTGTAAGATTTTTTTGTAATTAGAAATGCAATGCCTCTTCTTTTTTAAAAAGAAAAAAAAAGACTTTGGTGTCTATTGCTTTTAAAACCCCAGTTTGTTAAGGAGTTTTTTTATTTTACATCTTAAAAAAACTGTCCTGCAGGAAAATGAAGTGTGGCTTCTGTCTCTCACTTTTCATCTTGGATTTGTGGCAGCTGGAGACGGAGGTGACTAGTTTACGATCCCGGCTGGAGTCTCTGACGTCCGAGACCCTCTGTGTGAGGCGGGAGCTGAAGGCGGTGTCCGAGGAGGCAGGCGAACTCAAGGCCCAGCGGGCCACGAGCAAGGGCTCACTGCGTCAGGCCGAGGAGAGACAAGGCGAGCTGGAGAGAGAGGCTGTCAAGCTGAGAGAGGAGAGGGAGAGAGACCAAGAGAGACTGGAAGAGGTAGGCGACCATGGAAGTAGACACTATTTTCATTTGAGGAGGTTAGTCATGAGTGGTTCTCACAATAATAGCCTCCATTTGAGAGTGGCTTCAGATGTTTCTGATTTAATATCGTGACCACTACTCAGCTATAGCAAGGATCTGCCAGAAGCAGTGCAGAATTGTTATATTGGGGTGAATAAGATGGGGAATTCTTACTTTACTGTGCATGACAAATAATATTATTAATAATTGCAGGCATTTGCAATGAAGTTAAAATCCCAAAGCATTTTACAATGAGGTTGGAACCCATTTCATCCACTACTGAAGAACCACACCCACTTAGGTGATGTATGGCAGCCATTGTTCAAAAGTACAGTACAGTTCAGCAGCACTGCAGATGAGGCCAAGCAGTGAGAAACTACTCCACCCCCCAAATTAAGGGGGATATTTTTGGTAGTTTTGATGATGCAAGCCCAAAACCAATTTCACCAGGACACTGAGGTTAACACCTTTACTAGCCTGTGTTGGCACCTCCTTCTGAGGGTCAGAGCTGTGAGATAAGCAAGCTGAGGATACAGCCATCTTTAGCCCATGCGCATTAACAGTTGTATATTTTCTGCTCCTGAGCATTTCGATATATGACTGGTAATGTCTAGAGGCTAGGACTCAAAGTGAGCTGCAAATGAGCTTTCCTTGGTTAAGCCTCTCCGGAACACCCAAATTCCCAGTTCTTTACAGTGACTACAGACAATAAATTAAATTTCAGTCAGACGGAATTTATCCTGAGTGCACTTTCATTTTCATTGGTAAACTCTTAAGGCACTCAGCCAGATGGTGTGTCTCAGGAAAATAAAACTTCCTGGGGCTTGTACTTCATCCATTTTTAACCAGTGCCAATAGGAATTTGGACTATTAACGTCTAAAAATCTCACACACTGGGGTATATTAATTATAAATAATTTTTTTTATTTAAGCTGAGAAATTAGCTTCTTTCAAGAAACTCCTGGATGACATCCTCCAGTCAGGACAAGAGGCACTTTTTTAAACAAAGAGGTGTGGAACGAGCTAACCAGCTGGAGCTGAAACTGTGGCTTGTATCAAGGAAATGGATCTAATCCGATGACCAATTAGCTGCTAACGGATAGGCTAGCTAGGCCTAAAGGCCACCTCGAAAGTGTAGTCGATCTTATCGTCTCATTGGATAAAGTGTTTTTCTTGTGGAAATTCATCATGTCCTATAGTTTCATCCATCCATCCATTTTCTAACCACGTCTTCCAATTCTGGGTCGTCACAGGGCAGCTGGGGCGAATCCCAGCAAGCAACGGGCACAAGGCAGGGTACACCCCGGGCGAGACGCCAGTCTATTGCAGGGCACACACACACAGAGACACGCATGCAGTCACACCAGGGCCAATTTTCCCAGCAGCCAATGAACCTAACTGTGTGTCTCCGGACCATGGGAGGAAACCGGAGCACCGGGACACGGCGCGAACATGCAAACTCCACACAGATAGTGACCCAGGTCTAGAACTGAACCCAGAGCCCGAGAGCAATGCTATCCAGTGCACCACCGTGCCACCCCTGACAGTTTTATATTTAATGCTTTGTCTTTTGAACAACTTTCCTCGGTCTCGTACGGGATAGTCAGCCGATAAAAACTGAGCCATGAAAGCTGAGGAGAAGCTTTTTCCATCCACCCAGCTGTCCCGGCTCCACGGCGCCGCCTGTTCAGAGCTGCAGGCTCTGCGGGAGGAGCTGAGCCGGATCTCGGCGCTCCAAAGCCGCGCAGAGCGGGAGAAGGAAGCTCTGCTCCGGGAAGGAGAAAAACTGGAGGCCGGGATGAGGATTCTGGAGAAAGAGAAAGAGGGACTGGAGGACGAGAGACAGGAGCTCAGGTAAAACACGACTGCCCTTACAGTACCTTACTGTGAGTGTGGCAATATGTTGTGTCCTGTCTTCATCCAAAAATGTAGTTGCCTTTTAATTAGATTGTACACAGTGTTTAACCGTTCCAAGAATAAGTGACTCAAAAGAGTCTATAGTTAAGTTTTTAAGAAAGATATAAATTCTTAGCGTGGTGAATGTCATACTCCACACCATTGTAAATAACCAAACAGAATATCTTATGGTTAATAGTTTTTAACTTCTATGGAGTCTTTCTTTGGAGTTTATTCCAACTGCTACTGCTAAGAAAATATTTTCTTAGAGTTTCTGCATTGTTTTTTTTTTTTCTATTTTGAGTTATACTGTCCTCATACTGTGCCCTACTGACTTGTAATCTGTTATGAGATAATACCCACCACAAATGTTTTCCATTAAAAAAAACATCATTTGCATAAGTGACTTTCTTCACACTGTGCATTTGTGTCACTGGCACTGAACGGTGTCAGATACAAATGTTCACAGCATTCAGAACTTAGTATGTCGACCTCTGTGTTCAGCCACACTTCTTGTAAATATGTCACACTATTATCTGTACCGTATTGCAACAGATTTAGATTCGTAGCTGCGCTATTGTTTCATCTTTAGTGTAAACGACAAATAGGATCCACACCGCAGATGTGCATAACTGTGGTTTTTAATCTGAGAAAATGTATGGTCGGGCAGTTCTGTGTCAGATAAATTTGCTGTGAAACTTCCACAGGTCGCATGTTGAGTCTCTGCAGGTTCAGCTCTCAAACACCAATCAGAGGAACTCCAACCTGGAAATACTGCAAGGCCAACTGGAGGTCAAAGTTCAAACGCTACTTCAGGCAAAGGAAGTTCTGCAAGGTATCGTAAACAGACTACTAAGCCTTGGTAGATAGACTACTCAATCTTTGATTGGGTAAAGAGAAAAACAATGACCATGTCATGGGGGTGAATATATTATCATAGGTGTCTTCCAAAGTCCAAACTGATCTGTTCCTCCGAGGAAGATCCAGACAGTTTTTTTCAGCGTCATACCCAGTTGCACAAACACCTCAGAGACCACAAACCCCTTCAATATGAGTGTGACAGGGTAAGGTGTCAGAATGCCTCTTGTTTCTAGGTGAGATCCAATGTCTGCGCGCAGAGCTGGAGAGCGAGACTTCCCGGGCAGAGCAGGAGCGGGAGAGACTACAGAGGACGACGGAGCAGAGCCGGAGAGAGACGGAGAACCAAGAGAGGGAGATCCAGAGGCTCCTGCAGGCCCTGAGCACGCTGGAGGACAAGAGGAGGAAGGAGGACGAGGCGAGACAGGGGGAGAGGGAGGGCTGGCAGAGAGAGAGGGAGGAGCTGAGTTCAGAGCTGGGGGAGCGAGACGGGGAGGTGGAAACGCTGGGGAAGAGGCTGGAGGCCCTGCTGCGAGAAAAAGAGGAGCTGACGGCGAGGGACGCCGAGATCGAAAAGCTCCAGGCGCGGTTGGGAACAGAGCGCAGGGCCAAGGACGAGAAAATCAAAGAGATCAATGAAGACGCCGCCAGGCTGGGAGCTAGAGTGCAGGCTCTGGAGCAGGAGAGAGAAGGGCTGAGGGGCAGAGTAGAGGAGCTACAGGCTCTGGAGGGGCAGGCACGCGCACTGGAGCAGGACAAAGAGGAGTTCTCGGCACGGCTGAGGCAGAAAGAGCTGGCCCTGAGGGACCGGGAGGTAGAGATCGAGGGCTTAAAGACCAGGTTGCTCGATCTGGAGGGAGAAAGAGGCAGGCTGGCGTCGGCCCTGCAAGGGAGAGAGGGCCTGGAGGGCAGATTGGCCGCACTGGAGGAGATCAACTCAGAGATGAGGCAGAGGGAGCGATTGATACAGCAGGCCCTGAAGGAGGAGGAAAAGAAGGTGCAACAGAGGGCGGAGGAGATGGAGCTCCTCAGGAGCCTGGGGAGAGAAAGGGAAGACAAGCTAAGGAGGGACCTTGGACAGAGAGACTCCGAGGTAGGCCGGCTGAAAGCCAGGGTGGAGATGCTTGAAAGAGAGCAGGAAAGAGACAGAACACAGGTGGAAGAGCTCCAGAGGCAATCCGAGAGTCAGAGGGCCCTCCTGAGGGACAAGGTGGAAGAAGTGGAGAGGCTGAAGGGAAGACTGCACAGGGAGAAGGAAGAGGTGTCCGTAAGCGTCCGGCAGGGGGAGGAAGAGGCCGCGAGGCTGAGGGTTAGAGTCCACGAGCTAGAAAGACTAGCAGAGGGGCTGAGCAGCCAGCTCGGGGAAGCAGAGAGCCAGCTTGAGAGGGAGAGAGCTCTCTGGATGGAGAAAGAAGAAGAGCAGAAGAGTGCAGTTGAGGAACTTGAGAACGCAGAGGGAGAGGTGAGGAGGCTGAGCGAACGACTGGATGAGAGCGAGAGGGAGCGGATGAGAGTTTCTCGGTGCGTCGAAGAGCGGGAGGGAGTGGTGGTGAGTTTGAAGGAGAGAATGGAAGAGAGGGACAGGGAGATGGAGAGGATTTTGGAGCGGCTCGGAGAAAGGGAGGGAGATTTGGAGGAGCTGAGAGCAAGGTACGAGGAAAGTTCCCGCAAGTGGGACGAGGTCTCCCAGTCCGTCAGAGAGCGGGAGCAGGAGATGGAGAGGGTTAAGGAAACGGCATGCATGATGGAGAAGGAGCGGGAAGGCATGGCATCTCGGCTGAGTGAGAGGGAGACCGAGATTGAGAGGCTGAACAGGAGAGTTGGGGAGGTGCAGGAGCTCCAGCGAACTTTGTTGGAAGAGAGAGGGGGACAAGTGAAGCTGCTGGGAGACCGTGTGCAGGACCTCGAGGCTGAAAGGGATCGTCTTCTCGCTGAGATCAGAAGGAAGGATGGAGAGGCTGCTGCTCTGACAGACGAGATTGAGCAAGCATGCCGAGAGAGAGGGAAGATGAGTGACTCCCTGAGGCTGCAGGAAGAAGAGATGCGAGAGCTGAAGGAGGTGGAGGAGGCCAGATTATCAGAGATAGATTCTTTGCAGAAGCGAGTGGGAGAGATTAACCAGGAACTGGAGAAGACGAGAGCAGAAGTGCGCGAGAAGCGGCAGGAGAACGCGAAAATGCGAGATGGGCTGCAGGACAGCATTCGAGAGATGGAAACCTTCAAGGAGCTACTGAAAGGCAGCCACCAAGAAGGGGAGAAGCTGAGGACTCTTTTGAAAGAGAAGACGGAGGAATTAGTGAGGGGCAGAGAGGAGCATTTGAGAGTAGCCAGGCGAGAGACTGAGGAACTGAGGAACAGGATAAAGATCCTGGAGCAGGAGAGGCAGGAGCTGCGTTCTCAGCTGCGACAGAGAGACAGAGAGATGCTGAACGAGAAGGAGGCGAAAAGCAGAGAAACGGGCGCCCTCAGGGAAAGACTGGAGGAGGCCCAGGAGGAGGAGAAAAGGCTTAGGGCTGCGCTGAGGGACAGGGAAAGTGAAGTGGCCAGACTGAGGGACACGGCTGGGAACCTGGACCAGCAGAGGGCTGTTTTTAGTTTGGGGATCACGGAAAGGGACATGGAAATTACTGGTCTGAGGGAGACGGCTAAGGAAATTGAGAGAGAGCTGGACGTACTCAAAGAAGAAAAGAGCCAGGAAGTAGAACGATTGAAGGAGCGCATGGTCACCCTTGTGAAGGAAGGAGAAGAGAAACTGGGGAGACTGGAGAGGGAGGCTGCAGTTCAGAGAGAGGAGGGAAGGGAACAGTACCTCAGGGAGCAGCAGCTGCGGCGAGAGAGGGAGTCCGAGATCGAGCGGCTGAAGACGATTGCCTCAGAAAAAGAAAGGCGATTGGAGCTGGTATCTAAATCTCTGAAAGAAAGGGAGGAAGAGGTGGGGAGGCTGACGGAGAGTAGGGAAGAGACTGAAAGAGAGAGGGCCAGGGTGTTGGCACGCCTGAAGGAGCGAGAGAGAGAATTTGAAAGGCTGAGGGAGAGAGTGGAGGCACGGGAGAAGGTGGCCGTGGAAGGCAGCCGACGCGAAGCCCTTCTGAGGGAGGAGATGGAGGTGGAGAAGCGCCGCATTTTGGCACTGGAGACTGAGAAAGAGAAGCTGAGGGCCCGAGAATCCCAGCTCTTGAAAGAAGCTGCAGAGAAGGATAATGAGGAGTCGAAAAGTCTGGTCGCTGCGCTGGAACGAGAAGAGAAGGCGAGGGTCACCCTGCGCGAGAGAGACAGGGAGCTGCTGGAGCTGAAAGACAGCTTACAGACCCGGGACAGGGAACGGGAAGACTTCCTCTCAAGGACGGAGGAAGAGACGAAAAGGCTGAGAGGGAGGGTGTCTTCCTTACTGGTGGACAAGGAGGAATCTGCTCAGGTCCGCAGAGAATTGGAAGCAGAGGTGCGTGTGCTGAAGGACAGAGCCGAGGAGCTGGTGAGGGACAGAGAGCGGTTGCGGAAGGCACTGGAGATGACAGAGGGGACTCTAATCGAATGGCGTGAGCGCATTAAGGAGCTTGAACAGGAGCCAAAGGCCTCAGCAGCACCTCAGCTTCTGCAGGTCAGTGAAACACATGCCCGTTCTCTATCTACCCTTGTACTCTCTGTAGTGGAGTGCATTTCTTTAGCATTTCTGGGAACAGTGATATTTAATCTAGCTATTGTAATGCATGGTTCATCACGGCGCCGTGTAGGCCTTAGGCCCCATACAAAACTCTTTTCACCAAGAAGCTTTGCGTTATCTTCAACATTTACATCAATTTATAATATGTATTGTTGACATTATCTGTCTGGAATAGGTGGCAAGTCTAACATTCATATGCAGTTATGCCCTTGGGCAATATCATCACAAACGCAATGTCCTTCTAACCCATCCCGACACAGAAGTGTCGTTTTTGATGTTGATTGATTTATATAGGCAGATATAATATTTCTCTGAATTTCTTCAGCCATTCTATAGTTGATCTGCTTTTATGCTTTGGACCTTTGTCTTTCTGCATGTTTTGGTGTCTTTTCAGTTCGTACAGCATAAGTTGGGCAGGTGCCCACGACACAGCATGAGTGGAATTGGGGGGGAAACATCTTTGTGAGATGGCGGGGGGGGGAGTCAGATTCCAAAGTACTGTCTGTGAAAAATGAAAAGAAGCAGAAGGAGAACGAATGAGTGATATCTGCTTTGGGAGGGGGAAGGGGCGAGTGGGGTAGAGATGGCCTTGGGCCCGGCGCCAGGAGTTCAGCTGTAGTTTGTGTTTGATTCCCGAAGGAGGAGAAGGACGCCTCTCCACCAGAGGGCGCCTCTGCCCCGGAGAGGCTCCGTGCCATGCAGCAGGCCGTGGCCCAGCTGGAGCACGACAAAGAGCATCTGGAAGCAGAGAGGAGGCGTCTGGAGCGGCGCGTTGAACGACTGAAGAGGGAGCGAAGCCAGTTGAGAGAAACCCTGACTCAGGTGCCCCCTCGATCAGATAAGATAAGATCACTGTATGAGCCATATACAATTCCTTGCATTAGGAATTTGTCTTTTCGCATACCCCAGCTTGCTCTCCATGAGACACACAGGCACACAGACAGGGAGAGACAAGCTTGGGGTCAGAGCGCAGGGTCAGCCATTTATACGGCGCCCCTGGAGCAGCTGCGGTTAAGGGGCTTTGCTCAGGGGCCCAACGGAGTAGGATTCCTCTGCCGGCCGCGGGATTTGAACCTGCAGCCTTCCAGCCACAGATCCTTAGCCACAGTGCCACCGCTCTGCGGTTCTTTAAGACCTGAGAGAACAGGTTTCCCATTGATCTGTCTGTCTATTTGTGTGTGATTATCTGTTCTTTCTGACAGTCCATTAACGTCTAACCCATATGCAGCCTCATCTTTCTCTAATAGTGTATATAGATTAAAATGAAAGGAGCAAACCCTTGTCAAGTGCTGGGATTTACAGCTGTGCTTGCCCTCTTTTAATATATTCCTGCCCGACGATTTCCTTTCTTCAGCATCTAACACATTTTTCAAATGACCTTTACATTCAAAAACACAAAGCATTATTCATATTCTTGACATTTTACTTAGCCATTAACTATATTATTTATTTCTTGTTCCAGCATAAGTGTATGGTGGTTGTCTTACTGGCGCAGAATTCCAAGATTAATTCCCAGAGCTGTAATTCCTAGATCTTTATTCTAACTAATACGAGTAGTTGACATATTCCAATTGTTTTGACTATATTATTTTTTTTTAATCTAGGTACATTAAAGGAAGCACATTATAAATTAATGCCTTCGATGGTTTAGTTGTAGTTAATTAATATCAAGTTTTAATTGCAACAGTTACTGTACTGGTGGATCTGATGACCTTAGCAATGTGTTACTAATTTTTTCTTTTCAGTTGCCCGAATCCAAATAAAGTATGCCATGTTTATTATACAGAGCGAGTAGTTTGTTCTGTGCAGCTTTCAAATTCACAGAGCCTTATTCGCATGACTGCTGAATTACATTGCTGCCAAAGCAATAGCAATTATCATGAAACCCTGTCTTTTTTAATTAGGTGGAGGAGGAGAGATTAAGACTGCGACACCAGCTGTCACACTCGGACTCAGCGAATAAAAGTCAGGCCAGCTCCGAGGTCAGTAAACAAAGAGTTTAGTCTTACTTTAAATGAAAGTCTGAATAACTTAACTTAATTTCTTTAATATCCTTTAATGCTTGTACAATTTTCATGTTCTCAAGTGCTTAAAACGAATAACATCTAGCTGTGCCTCGATCACTCTGGTACAAAGATTCAACCATAAATATGCTAAATAGGGAAAAAGATAAATTGAAACGCCCACACACAGCTTTTAGCCGACATTTGGTCTATAACTGCAAAAAACATGCATAAACCTCTGGACCATTGTTATGATAACACCTGAGCAAAAAGAACCACAGCAGGATACAAAAGCGAATCCTTACTCCTCATCGCCTGGAGATCAGTTATAGGCGTGCTGAAGAGACAGTACTGTGTGGATAAACCAGTGTTGAATGCCGTTTTTTATGTTTTCTGTTTGAAAGACTCTTAACACAAAAACGCATAAACTAAAAAAGACCCATTAAGTCTTCTGAGGTCTGAGGTGCTCCTTTCAACTTCTGTCCAAAACAAAAAAATGGAAAACAGCCATTTCGTTTTAAAACAAAACTGCAGACAGATCGTTTCATTTACATTTACATATGAGAAGACCCAGCTATAGCTGCTAAACTCTCAAAGGTACACTTCTTTTTGCTAATTAAAAAAACTTACAAACAAAAGTTTGCATATGGATACACTGGAATTATTTCATGTGGAATAAAGATCACCCAAACTATCTTTTACAGTTCTTTAATAATAATAATAATAATTATTATTATTATTATTATTATTATTATTATTATTTAATTAAAATAGGCTTTTCCAGACTATTTTATTATTTTAATAGTATTTTACCTGTTTTCCGTTTTTTTATAATAATAATTGCTTACACTTATATAGCGCTTTTCTGGACACTCCACTCAAAGCGCTTTACAGGTAATGGGGAATCCCACTACCACCACCAATGTGTAGCCCCCACCTGGATGATGCAATGGCAGCCATAGTGCACCATGCATCAGCTATCAGTGGGGAGGAGAACAGAGTAATGAAGCCAATTCAAATAGTTGTGTTGTAGATCTGCTTGTATTCTTAGGAGCTTTGTCTCGCTGCACTTTCGGCTGAGCATCAGCTGACGAATGGACAACCCGAGTTTCTCCTCCAAAATTGGCTAATTCAACGCCGAATTTGCAATTCTCTCTGATGGCAAGTCATCCAGGGCCTGAGGCAGAAAATCATGATACTCCCACCACCATGCTTGATGGTAGGGATGAGGTTCTTCTGTTGGAAGGCAGGGTTTTGGGCTTTTTCAACCCAAAACATTTGTCATTATGGCCTAAAATTCAATTTGTGACTCATCTGTAAGCTAAAGATCAGTCCAGTAACCTTGTGAATCCTCCTGCTGTTCTTTGGCAGAAGTGAGACAGATAGGAATGTCCTTATTAGAGAGAGCATTGGTTTCTTTTTGGCTTTCCTCCCATGAAAACCTTTCCTGTTCATTTTTCACTGAACTCTGCTGCAGCAAAAGAGCTCTACAGATGCTTAGTTGTTGTTAGCCTGGGGGGGTTTGTGACTTCACAGGTTGCTTTTAGAGAGATTTTGGCAGGACATTCTGTGTGGAATCACTATGATCTTGAATATTTAACAAAAGGGTAAAGATTGTCAGCTCTCGGGCATTTCATAATGATTAAACAATTAACATAATCCTCCAAAAACTAAATGTCTCATTCAATTTGAGTGATAACTATGTTTTGTAATAGATTTATAACACTAACTTGTTGGACTTTGTACTTTAAAGATGACTTGTTTTCAGTCACACATAGAAAGTGTGGAACTGAGGGAATTAATAGCATATTTTAATTGTATGAATATTTAGGCATGACTACCTATTCTCAGTAGTTTATTTTTAAAACATTGTAGTTTTTCAAAATCTCAAACCTACAGACATTTTCCAAGCTTGTCTATAAATATGAATATTAAGTCATAAGTCAGATTGGTCATACTGTAGTTGTGACAAGTAAAACGTCCCTTAGACGGGCTTTTTTCTGTTTGCATACATCCATCCGCTTTCTAACTGCTTGTTCCAGTACAGGGTAGCAGGGGAATCGGAGCCTATCCCAGCAAGCAACGGGCGAAAGGCACACACTCACACCTGGGCCAGTTTTCCTAGAAGCCAGTTATCCTGCCAGTTTATCTTTGGACTGTGGGAGGAAACCCACACAATGGGAGAACATACGAACTCCACTCAGATAGCACCCCTGATCTGGAACTGAACGCAGACCCCCCAACACTGTGAGGCAGTGCGGACCACTGTGCCTCTGTACCTTCCTTTCGTATTCCTTTGTAGTAATTCATGCTGCCTGGGTGGCACAGGGATATGAATAAATACACTATCTGCTGTGGCAGTGGGCAGTAGTCCTCTTAAGTAGTACTGTCATGTGTCTGCAAACGGGAATAACCAGCTAAATTAAGGCTTCCTGTCCACTCCTCCAGCAGGTGCAGTCTGAAGAAGAGCAGATGGGTAGACTGAGAGCTCGGGTCAGAGAGCTGGAGGAGCAGGTAAGAAGAGAAAATGTTCTGAGCACAAGCAGGCAGCAGTCCCGAAGGACAGTGAAAAAACGTTCCCCGATACCGTAAACCCCGAAGCAGGGTCACAGCAAACAAAATAGCTTCTGCTTCAAATAATAGATGCTAATGGAAAAAGGTTGTCGGGAAGAAAAGGGGGTGTGCTTTCAAAACACAGATGATTGAAAGAAAACTTTTCAAAATATGTCAAATCAGTCCATTGTGCTTTGACTTTGCTTTCTTTGCCAGTGTTGTATTCCACAAGGATATCATTATTTTATTGTTGATTTTAGATTTGTTTTGCTCATTAGCTCCTGAACCCTTCACTCTAATGATTTGTAATTCGCTTAAATCAAAGCATCACAAGCATTTCATTTCATTCCCGGCACGTAGTTAACGAGCACTGCTAGGATTGTGATCTGTTGTGTTGCTCATAGATAGTAAGCCCTTGTTCAGTCATCACTGCTTTGAGCCTGTGCTGATGAGACATTTCCATGGTAGCTTCAGAGCAAGACTGAGGCGTCTTCAGTCAGAGCCACCCACCCAAGCCTGACTCTGGGCACTGATACATCGTTTTTATCTTCTGGATTCTGTGGAGAATCAGTAAAAAAAGCAGAGGCACATTTTGGGAGCTGTGGTTAAAACTATAGACTTTAAATCCGGAGATTTAATGTTAAAATACAGTACTCTCGTGAGCCCTTGTTTAGAATATTGGGTTCATTTTTGGTCACTAACATGCGGAAAGATATTTCTGCATTTTAAATGCAAAAATGACAATAGCCATTTCCTTACCCAGAGTGATCCAGCTACCCTGTCATGTTATTGAAGCTTATGTCTTTGCACCTTTGACACAACAGTCAGATGCGATCCTTGATAAGCTAGAAAGGCTGAATGGTATAATCATGACAGTATTCATATTCATACCCTGCAATGTCTTGCATCCCCAGTCGGGCTTTCTGTGGATGCCCACTGAACTGGTTTTTAATGTGGCAGAAAATAAACCAAAACCATACTCACACATTTCAGGTTGCTTATCGAGGTAGCACTTTTAAATTAGGAAACTTTTAACATTTAGAGGATGCTGCTTTCTTTTGGGAATCATGCAGGTTACTGTCCAGTGCCTGGCTCTGCACTGTTGGATAAATGTTCCAGCCATTCCCATGAAACACACATACTTCCCTAGTTTACATGCTCTGGATCTACTGTATATAGCACCAACGTGTCTCAGTCTTACTGTAAAAACCTCAGAAAATCAGTAGTCAAAAATCAAGCAGCATGGCTGGTGTTGTGCTGTAATGGTTTTGAATTTACCAGAACAATTAGAAATTGGACCAGCAAATTGTTAAGCGGGATTTTGTGGTTACTAGGAATTATAGTCACACAAAAAAATCAGAAAACAGATTTAGAATATATAATAGACAATTGTATTATTACAACAGCAAACCTGTATACAATAAGCAGTTTGTCTTGGTATAAATGGCTGATTATTGACGTAGGGATTACAAAGATAGGAATAACATCACACTTAAAATACATTAACTATAGAATTTATGGTCCAGCTCATAAGTTAATTCAGTCCCTTCATAGGTCATTAACACTCATAATCTTGAAGCAAACATCAAATTATGAAACTCTATCAAACACGTATGGAATAATAGATTCTCAAGATTTCTAACATAAATATCGATATTTTACTCGTCCTAGAGCAACACACTGGCCAGGCTGTTAGAGGGTAGGATTTGGAAACTCTGCAGACTGACAGCTGGTTGTTACTTGTTTATTTACAGAGTACGCAGTCTACATTGTGCTTCGCACTTGCTGAGGACACAGTTTTTATGTCTGTGTCCATGACATGCGCTCAGAGATTTTCTCTCCCTTTCTTGCAGGTGCATTACCTCAGATTAACTCTGGCCATTGATTTTCAAGAGAGGGCCGAGTTCATCGAACGCGCTTCCAGAAACAACCAGTGGTTGCTGGGCCTGAGGCAGGACCTGAGTGACTCTCTGGCACAGGTGTCGAAGAAGCCCCTCCCCTCGGTAATGGAGATGGAAACTCAGCGATTGGACAGGAGTCTGAGGGAGGAGGAGCTCCGCTTGTCCCTCAGCCAATCGTAAAAGAGCAGGAAGCAAAAAAAGGCTAAGGCAATTTTGCACTGAAGATGGAAATAATTTAACACCTTTTAGTTGACTTCTCCCCCCCAAAAAACGTTTACCAGTTTACTTACAGCTTCCTTGTTTAAATGCACATCCTGTTTCACGCATACAGTATGGGTTTTGAAGCACAAAGTCTCTTGAACTACCTGTCAGACACAGATAACTTAGTTAATTACATGTGACTTCTGTCCTCTAACAGTATATTCACTAGAGTATGTACAGTATATGAATTAAAAAAACCTGTACTGAGGCAGCCTGTGTGTACACTTGTATATGCTTGACATAGGATATGATATTTACTGTAACATTAATTTAGAAAGTTCTCATAAGCTTGAAAGTGTCCTGTATGAATTTGTAAATAGTTTACCTTATTTATATTGTATGCACAGTACCTTATAAACCAATTTAACCCCTGTACATCCTAAGATCTTAACATTTTTTTATTTTTGTAATTTAATGACTTTTCCTGTAAATGTAAAAAATCCTAAATATAATATTTTCTTTATTTTTTAAATATGTTGTCTATTTTTTGAAGGAGTGGGGTGCGATAGGAATTTAGCAGGGATTTGTCATTCTTATAAGTTAATATAGCTTCAAGTTATATAGTCATTGACATTCTTTTAATTGATATATCATCTAAAGTGGAGTGTTTTTCATAAAAGACCAAGGTTTAGTTGCCTTTTAAGACACATGGGTCGAGTGAAGAGCCAATTCTTAATTTCTAGTGTGGCAAGTGTTTACAGTGGTTTCAAGACAGTGAGTGTAGTGTGTGACATTACATATTGTAGAACTGCCAAGACGGAAGACATTCACGTTGAACTTCTTCCACCTGTTTTGCTTTTAAAGGACTTGATAGCCAGAGTATAAAGGATGCAGGAATCCTAACAGGCTTCACAGTCACCAGAGCAACTACAGGACTGAAGAAGCCATTCCACACCTCTGCCTGTCAATGCTGACCCTAGGTTGGACTCCAAGGATGAGGGGGTGAACTTTAGAACCCATAAAGTGTAACTATAAGAAGTGAAGAATTGAATTCAAAGAGGTACTTATTAAAAAAAGTGTTCATTTTTCCATATTACTTATTAAAAAAGTTTTCTACATTACGTTTTGCTAGGTAGTGTGGCACAGTGGTTGACACTGCTTTGCACTACTGTGGTCCTAGGTTCAATTCCAGAGGTGCTGTCTCCATGGAGTTCGTATGTTCTCCCTGTGTTTACATTTGTTTCCTCCAGGTGCTCCGGTTTCCTCCCACGGTCCAAAGACTGGTAAGTTAATTGGCCTCTGGGAACATTAACCCTAAATGTGAGGGTCTCTGTTGGTGGCTGTGCTTCTGGCCTGCGATGGACTGGCGAAGTGGACGGAGGAGTTGTGGGAGTTCTACACAAAGACAAAATGAACAAGGTCCTGCTTTTAGAACTTTTAGATGTTAAGGACGCACAACAACCTTTGGGAACGATTTTGTTTCCATTTGAGAAAGAATGTTATTCCATCACGAAGGCAGAAATCTGGATAGCATGTCGTTAACACAGAGACGTATTCTGGATATTTACAGCTGGATACATTATTTCCTAAGGGAATGAATGTGGAATTAGGTTTTGCCCCATTTCTTTTGAATCAATATTTCATTATACTACAATAGTGGTATGCCGTAATGTTTTATGGACTCACTTTTTTATATCTTTAGCATTCAATATGACATATTGGTAATATCTAATGTATTATATTTAGAGTGTTTTCATCTAACAATAATTTTCCTTGGAAGAACCAATGTGCAGAATTATTATGAATGCCCTGGGGACTATAATTGTGTTTGTCAATAACCAAAACAATGCGTACAAAGTCAAGCTGTAACCTGAACCTCGCACTGCTGTTAAAACAGCATGTGAGGAAAGGAAATCTTTCTTTTTCACTTCACTGTCCAAGTATAGCTTTTCCTCAGTCAAGATGTTAAAGGATAGAATCAGAAACAGAAATTGTGGGGCTGATGGATTCTATCCTGCTGGGCTACCTAATACCCTTAAGTAGGTACTTGCATTTACAATCAACTATTCTAAGGCCAGCCAAGAAATTTAAAGGGAGGGTGCCAACATAGAATTCAAACAGCGATAATAAAAATTTGTGATAATTCCAGACTGTTTTATTATTTTAATACTATTTTATCTCTTTTCCAGACCTTTTCTATAATAATAATTGCTTACACTTATATAGCGCTTTTCTGGACACTCCACTTTAAGCGCTTTACCGGTAATGGGGAATCCCACTACCACCACCAATGTGCAGTCCCCACCTGGATGATGTAAGGCCAGACATAGTGCGCCAGTACACTCACCACACATCAGCTATCAATGGGGAGGAGAACAGAGTGATGAAGCCAGTTCAGAGATGGCGGCCATTAGGAAGCCATGATTGGTAAAGGCCAGTGGGAAATTTGGCCAGGACACCGGGGTAACACCCATACTATGTTGGAGAAATCCCATGGGATGTTTAATGACCACAGAGAGTCAGGACCTCAGTTTTATGTCTCATCCGAAAGACGGCGCCTTTTTACAGTATAGTGTCCCCCTCACTATACTGGGGCATTAGGACCTACACAGACCGCAGGATGAGCGCCCCCCACTGGTCCCAATAACAGCATTCACAGGAAGGTTTTCCATCCAGATACTGGCCAGGCTCATACCTGCTGAGCTTCAGTGGGCTGCCAGTTGTGACTTTCAGGCTAATATAGCTGCTGGATTTGGAATATATAAGAATATATGAAATCATGACTGTGAAGTGTGAATTAACTATTATTCATGCTGAGCACAAATTGTAAGGACATTAAAAGAAGATGAAAACCTGCATTACTGCATGGACTTTGTGTGCTTTTCCCCATGTTCACGTGGTTTCCTCTTGCACTCCAAAGACATGCTGGTAGGTGAATTGGCTTCTGGGAAAATTGGTCCTGGTCTGAGTGAGTGTGTGTTTCTGTCTGCCTGCCCTGCAATGGACTGGTGTCCCATCCATGATGTGTCCTGCCTTGCACCCATTGCTTGTTGGAATAAGCTCCGTCTCCACCCGAACTGCAAGAAGTGGTTAGAAAATGGATGGATGGAAAGCCATTGATAACGAATGGTGAATATCACTGAGTGAGGAGATGGCAGGTTCAGGCAAGATGGCTGTTCTAGTCTGAATTACATTTCCCAGATGACTGTGGGTAATTTTTTGTTGCCCACAGTCTCCTGAAGGTATGGTATAGTAGGTGAAGGCTAAAAACTAGGAAGCTGAGGCTTCTAGAAGAGTGAACATTTTGGGTGTCTCTTACTACGAAACCCAAAATACCCAGGTGTATCACAGTTAATTCACACCTTTATGAAGGTGCTGAGAACAATTGTAACGCAGAGTCGTCTGTCAATGTCATGCATTTATCTTTGCTTTGCAAAATCAGGCTGCTCGTGAATGAACTTCGCCCTGCTTAACTTTCAACCAGCAGGACTTCTTGTTTTCCTGCTTCTAACCCCATGGAGATCACCTCCCTGCCAAGGTCTCCAGTAGAGCTCTCAAAAACAAGGTCTTGCAGAAATTAAACAATAATCAAAAATACTGGTCTCCTTTAAAACTGTTGCAATGTAAAACCCAGGAGAAATTTCCTCAGCTGGAGCAAATTGTGCAATCTCCTGTAAGTGCTGCCTAGTGTATTTCATGTCAAAGGTTAAGAAGGAAAACCATTTTGAATTAGTGTGTTAAAGAACAATACACTGCTCCTCTTTTACTTTAACAGCGTTGTTTTGCCATGTGGATTGCAACACAAATAAATGTTGACCATTTATCCTGATTGTGACGAAACTGGAAGAAGCCTTCTGTGTTTTCAAAATTATTTGGATCACTGTTATTAAAGAATTCTATCCGAATTTCTAAAAAGTTAGAACTGAACACAGCTGGGCTCTTGCAGGGCTCAACCCAAAAAGTGTTAGCTCGTGGAGCAAATTGAGCTCTGTAATCCAAATGCCTGGTTCGTGACACTTAGCTAACAGTGACTGGGACTCCACCCTGGTGCCAGAGCACAGAGACTCAGTGCTGCCGGTGGTAGAAGAGTCTGCCTGGTGTAAGGGGAGCCGGTCCAGGCTCCCGCAAAGCATAGTTCAGGACCCTGTGTAGACAGTATTATCCGGAAGTAAGTGGAGAAGGACAACAGGGAAAAGATGTAGAGGATCAGGATGGGTTGACAGACAGGGGGGGGCGTGATGGCGGTGATCCGGTGCTCTGGGGGGGCGTGGCAAGGGCAAACGAGTCCAAACAGTCCCAAGGAGAATCCGGGGTGCAGTCCAGGGTCCAGGAACCGGGGGATCCATCCAGGACAAGACAAACAAGGTTAAAATCCGGAATGGGATCCGGAACAGGGACAGGGAATAAAACCAGGGTAACGAGGCCAGGCGCGCCGAGCCCCAGACCCAGACGGTCAGGACGCTGTGGTGAAGCCTATGCCTTCGGGTCTCTCCTGGACCTGTTGGTAGGTGAGATCCCAGGCGTCCATCTCCCAGCGCTGAGCCAGGAATGGCGAGAGCACCAGGCTTAAATAATGAGAGACAAAACAGGTGCATATAATCAACCAAAATACGAAAAGGATCGGGGAGCCCTTAGAGTTAACTTTTTGTCCATTTGACATTCAAAGCAGAAATCTGCATCTCAGACACCTTGTGGGTTGCCTATGAAATATCTGGGGTTTCACTAATATGGGCCATTGCAGGCCTTAATTCACAGCTTTCACCATAAAAGAGTTTTCTCCTGATACAAGTTTTGAAAACCCTCAAAGGCACAGACAAAGTCCACTCAGAGCCTTTCTCCGGAAAGGAAAAATGAAACACAAACCAGACGGCGCAAGTGGAAACGATGTGAAAGTGCATTTAAAACCGAGAACACGTTTCACTTCTTCACCCACAGGGCTGTAGGGAGTGTGAAACAAGCTTCCCAGCCATATCTGCATGAATTTCTTGTATCATTTAACTATTACCTACCAAAATGCGCCAGATGTGCCTAAAGGCCTACTCCTGTTTGGAACATTTCTGATTTTCTTCTGAATATACAAGTCAAGACGCCTGGACTTTTTAAATAAATTCAACTGCTCGAAAACATATAGCCTTGTTTTTTTTTTAAATGAGAATAACCACTCACGGAATGTTTGTCTCCACATAAGAGATTTTAAAATTCAGGTTTTTATTTAACATGCCAGACTGTTGAACGTTTTTACAAGTCGGGTGGCGTTTTGGATAACCTTCAGACGACGGCCGGGAGCACAGAGGTGGTTTGAGAAAACGTGCGCCTAGCGCTTGCCTGCCCTAAAGGCGGGCGAGCCCCACGCCAGCGCCACTCTTTCCGCGACCGGCTGTGCACCGCTAGCGGGAGCTCTACTCCTTTCCCACACTGCGCGGAAGTGAGACGGCTCGGCTTTAGCGTGTTTAGTGCTGCAAGCGCCGCAGACAATCCCGGGATGAGGCGTATCCCAGTCACAGACGCTCTGTCTCGCTGTCTGCTGCTCCATGGTCACTAGCGCTGACAGCCAGCCAGCCAGCCAGCCCTCCCTCCTTCTGAAACTGCAGACAAACCGAAACGGAGGCAGTCTGCTCCCCGTAACCAAAACAGTGCAGAACTAAGTGTTGGGGAGGACGTGCCTGTGTACATTTTTTTATTTGTGGTGTTGGGGTGGGAGGGGGGGGGAGGTTGTAATTTTTTTTTTAACAAAAACTGGGCTTTGCGCAAGGATATTTTCCGATGGAGATTTATTGGAATTCATAGCCTTGTCTAAAGGTGGAGATCTGAAAGTGTTGGAGGAAGAAAAAAAAAAGGGGGGGGCCTCTCTTAATATCCTGAGCAAGGGGGGGATCCGCGAATCTCGGCTGGGATCGCTCCTGAAAACAAACACCGTGCCCTGCGTAGGAACAGCAAAACGGGAGGGGAAATAAAATGCTTACAGTTTTTCCTGTTGGCAGCGAAGTTAGCAGGCGCTTTTCACAAAGGGGCTTCATTTAAAGGGAAAAGAAAAAACGGAATTTGTGCACCGCGGACTTTAAAAGTCGGAGCTGCTTGGTGGGTTCTTGGAGGGGGGAAAAAAGGCCTTTTTTTGGAGGATTGCAGGCAATTTCTCGCCAAGGACTTATTTTTTTGATTTTTTTTCACAAGAAAAATGGAATCCTCGGATTTTCATATTAAGTTGGAGACGCGCTCGCCTGCACGGTAATTGTTTTTGCTGAAGGACATTTGCAATTCGGGAAGCTTTAGGGTAGCTAACGTTAGCTACCTAACCTTCGTATATCTGCAGAAACCCAATCAAAGGGAATAGAATAACCGTTCAGACCGATTCTGGTTGTCTTAAGGTTTTTATTTTGCAGCCGGGAGTGGAAATTAAAAGAACCGAGCCTCCCTATTTTTAAAACCGGAATCGCCCAGTTCATTTCACGAATGATGTAACTGGCGAGGGCTTTTTACAAAGAGGGGGAAAAAAAATCTAGCACGTTAAATGATTGAGATAAGTAGCTGGCTGTTCCAAGAAAATGTTAATTTTAACGCCGGCCAGCACGAAGACGAACTGAAAACAAAAACGACGAGGCACCGGTGGACAATGATGGGATTCTTCATTTGAATCGGGATTACAGTCAACGAATGTATCTGGATTGGTCATTTCTAGGAAGAGGAAAAAATTATAAAACTTTTTGGAGGTGTTTATTATCGCGGATACCGGGTTTGGTGCTCAGCATGGCCGCCTTCCACCGCCTGTCTATCCTGGTGTTGGGAGTCTACGCAGTCCTGCTCAGTACGGTAGCTGGTAAGTGCCTACATAACTGCGGGCTGAAATCAGACTTAATGGCCCTGTAAAAAAAAATGATTTGGGCTTCCAATAAATAAACACTGTTCTCTTTCAGTTAAACGAAACGACACCGAAAATAACCCAGGCAGCGAATCTCAATATTTAACTTTTTTTTTTTATACGGCCGAATATGTTTTCGACCGTGGTTGAACCGCCTTGTTGTAGCTTTTAACAGACAGGAAAGGTTACATTCACCCAAGAAAAATAAAACTGTTATTTAAGTTACTTCATGGGCACCTTGGTAGTCCTCCAGGTAACCAGTGTCTTCAGCAAGGTCCGGCAGCATTTTATTTTCATGAGTTGGACCACGGGTGGAATCGCTGAAAATCTTTCCAAGAACAAATGAGAAAACGCTTTGCAATCGAGTATAGCGATTATATAATTGTTACCAAGGGATAGAACAATTGAAAATACGGCAGGCGAATAATGTTACAACTCGAGATACATATATGGCGTGTAATGTCTTAGGTGTAGCCTAAGTAATGTGCAGTATTGCATGTCTCGGTCTCTCATTTGTTACTCCATTAACAGTAACGTTCAAATATGCATGTCACTATTTGAGTAGTCCAGGTTTTCAGATGTGACAACAGCGGTTTCAGTTATTTGGGTGACTTGAACTGAATGCTTTGATAACGTACAATTGCATCTGTAAGTACGGTAGTTAAGATCCTGGTGTCTGCTGTGTGCTTTTTGTGAAGGGTAGTGCACAGACCTCAACATCGTTTTATCTCGTTCATTCACTTGACATGGACGTGAGATGCACCTTTTTATGACAGAACAAGGGCTCTTTTTATGTCCTGCCTTCTTGCCATCTTGCCATTAGATCCAGTGTAGATTGAAATATAAAAATCTGGATTAAAAATAATTCCTATTTATAAAATACTTCCCCCTTTCCTCCTTCTAAAAGTGTCACATCACCAGAGTACAGAAAATGTCATTGGTCATTGCAGACAGTCCCGAATGAGTAATATGTTAATTTCTGCTTTGAGGTGTTTTTTAATTGATCTTTTTTGACGTACTTCCTTTCAGTTTAGAGGGAAAAAACCCAATCAGTAAAACCTGAGCAAGTGTTCTGCTTTCATTTGTCAACCATGTTGCTCTGATGCCTGGTTATCCTGAAAGGCATTTGAACTATAAGGCTTCAGTGATGTCTCCTCTGATAAGGCAGTCTTTTTAGATTAGTTTTTTTTAGTTTGTGTTCCATTTTGAAGTGGGAGAACATGCTTCTGAGAGACTCCCCAGTTGCCAATAGGTTGAGTCTTGTAGGGTTGGTAGCCTTTCAGTCCCTGAACGCGTTTTTGGGATCATGACCCTTTAAGCAGGTTGTCGAGCCAAGCTTACACAACACAGCTTGAGTGACTGGGGAAGATTAAGACATCTTGTATAACCTGAGCTAATTCTGGCAAAGATTTTTTTTCTTCTTCCAAGAACTTACTCCTATTTGGCCACAGACGTGGTCTAGGAATTCTTATCCTAATGTGTGTGGGGAAAAAAAATGTATGGCGCTATAAAACAGATTCCCCTCTGGCCACGTCTGATCCAAAAGGACAACTCTGCTGTGTCCACTTATTTTTAAGCAATACCCAGACTTTCGATTGCAGGCATTAAACCACTGAATGGAAACGAGTGAGACAGTAACTGTTGCCTTAGAGATACTCTAAATGAGGGGCTGTCCAGTGACGCAGTGATTAGTATTGCTGACTCACAGTGCTGGGGCCCTGGGTTCAATTCCAGATCTTGTGTGCTGTCTGTGTAGAGTCTGTATGTTCTCCCTGGGCTCGCGTGAGACTTCTCCCACAGCCCCAAGACATACTGATTGGTTAAACTGGCCCCGGTGCGATGATTGTGTTTGTGTGTCTGCTCTGCGATGGACTGGTGCCCCATCCAGGGTGTGCACCCGTGGCTTGTCTAGGGTCCCCAGTGATCCAGAATTGGATATAGCTTTTCGAAAATGGATTAAAAACCAGCACACAGATTCTCTCGTTTCCCCTACCTTTGACTCGCATGTCCTGGGGTCAAACGGTGCAGAACTGCTCTGCTCTGTTCTCTCCCATTCCAACACGTTGATGCTGTGTGGGTCAGTCTCGGGCACAGTCATAGTCCGGGTGTAAGATGGGACTCCGCAGCTTCAGCCTCTGTGCTGCAGAGGTGGAATGAGGACCCATGGAAGTATAAGATCCTTTAACACACTTGAGAATCACCCAGTGCCTCACAGCAGGGGTTCAGAGTTCTGCGCCCGGAGGCCCACACAACAGCTGTTTCCATTCCAGCGGAGCCTCATGACCTAATTGAAACCTTAATTGAACTAGCAAGTTGCTTTATGGGAGTTTTCCTCAGTAGCGTTTTCTTGAACCTCCTCGGAAGTCTTGGATTTGATGTTACTTGTGAAATGCAGTAGCTGAAAGCTGCCCTCCAGCATTTGCAGGAGCTGAGCCCAGATCAGGTTGTCCAAATTAGTCCTATTTTTTTAAATGTTCTTTTTTTTTAAACCTTTTACAGTAGCAGTGAGTAGTTGGTTAACAGCATGCTGATCATTGACATTCATAAAATCCCATCCTCATCCGTTCATACAAAAAGAAACTACATAATGATGTGTTTGGGCATATAGGGACAAAACTGCACAGCCTTCCTGTACCGATATAATCTCAGAAAGAAAAAAAAATAACGCAATTAGGAAAGCTGGTTTTCCAAATAAGTCCAAAGGGGAGAACAGATCTTCCAAAAGTGCTCCGATCTCGAGCGGAGATCATGTCAGTTTTTCTAGGGAGAGCCACATTTAGACAGTCGGTACTTGGTAGACAGGCATACATTTCCTAGCGTAATGATCAAGCTTAGAAAATAGACATATTGAAACTTTGTCAAGTTGGAGTGTATAATCACTGTCTAGAAGGTAAAATGCAAACCAAAGATGTTTTCGGTGACAGAATGTACATAATTCCCGTATTATTTAATTTTATTGCACAGCCAGAATAAATTAACAAGGTTACCTATCTGAGAGTGACACTTAAAACGATCTGCCTGGGTATATCTTTTGGAGTAGGACTGGGGGGGGTCAGAGAGAATTCATTAAGTTCAGCTATTGTATAGTAATAGAAGTGCACTTGGGATACAGATTAGTCCTGTTCTTAAGTCAGTTAGGATTCAGTGATGTGCCCGAGAGCTCTACTAGAACAAAAAAGCCAGCAGGTGTTTTGGCCTCCGGGACGAAGACTGAGCATTCCTGCCTAATAGGGCACTCGGTGTGGAGTAGAGGAGCAGGTGCGTGTCTCATTGACCTTACTCCAAAGCTAGCAGCAGGTCCACAGGAGTCCCTGTTTGCCCGGAAAAACAGAACAGACCCTGGCTCAATCAAGGCAAGCCAGCCCAAGTGCTCAGCCAATAGCCTGCTCAGTCCTTGGATACGCATGTCGCAGGATGATTTCCGGCCCCTAAGCTCGACCCACACTTCAGCTACTCCTGAGCAACGGGATCTGAGCTGAAGAAACGCAGTGGCAGTGCTGTGTACCAGTTGGAAAGGAGACTGTGTGACGTTCTCTGAGGCTGTGCAGTGTGCACCTTAACCAGGAGATTAGTTGAATGACTTGTGCTCTGCCTTGGTTTGGATCTTTTGTTTAAAAGAAAAAAAAAAAGAAAACGGATCATTAACATGCATAAAGAATGGTATTTTATCCTCTGGAAGAGATACAATGCTAGATGTCTGAATAGTAACATTATTGTGTACAGGATTTCTGTGCATTTTGACTTATCATCTTTAACTGGTGTTGTGATAGCTAACACAGAAGTCTTAACCTTTTTTTTTCGGATGTGCATATTTGAAGCTTTGGGGTTACATATCGCCACATTCAGATGTTCTGCAGTGAATGCGTGTCTGGTGCAGTGGCTGGGTCTTGTGCAAAACAAAAACATTTAAAATCGCCGATATGTGCAATAACTGCACACTCATCTGAATCAATTGGCAAACAACAAAACAAGCAAGTGATTCAACAGGAAAGCCATTCGTCAGTAATATGAGTGTGTGAGTGCTTTATCTTCTAGGGTCAGCGTTATAAATCCTGATCTGATTGATCGTTTGCTAGGCTTGAGTATTTGGAGGTGCAGTCCAGCGATGTTTATGCAGCAGTTTTTAAGTGCTCATTGTACTCTGTCCAATAAAAATGGTGAATGATTGTGCCTTGCAGTTCCTTAAATGCTTTTCTAAGGATAATCAGCACCCCCTTCATCATTGCTCATGTCTATCCTGGTTTATTTTTAGTACATGATTGTAGGATTTGGACAGTGAGTTCATAAGATAGTTCTCGTCACTCCCATTCCTGGATATACATTCATTGTAAGCTAATTTTTTTGAAAGCTTAGCATATTATAGAGCAAACTACAAAAAAAAATTGAGATTCTTTAATAGTGGATGGCTCTTTGTGTGGATAAGAACTTGAGTTTGACACAAGAAAGAAGTAAACAGTAGCTGTTAGTAGGCTTAGCCTTCACACAAGGCCCCTGGGGGGTGAAATAAAGCTTACTTTAGGCCTTGAAAAAGATAAGAGAGCACAAACACAACCAAACAGGAGTTTTGAAGCTTCCATGTCTGATATGGTCATGTGTTGCGCTGTGAAGACACTGTTGTGATTTTAAGAGTTCTGCTATAATTCTTACAAGAAAGGGAATAATTAAAATCAGCTGTCCCTGGCTAAGAAAAACTTAATTTCATATTAGAATACTTAACAGGAAGCCGGTCCTTTACAATTTCATCAATTTCCCTACGGGATTAATAAAGTCTTATCTATCTGTCAATTCTTTGTGGCTGTAATGTTTTATTAAAAAATTTTATAGACACAGTTATGTACATATAGACTTTGATTTCCTACTGAAGAGACTATTTGTGGACACAGGAAATTAGGTGATTACCCACTGATGGACGTATTTAGAGAGAAGAACACAGACCTGAATTTGAATATGCACATTGT